AGAAACTATTCACGTACACAGCATTCCCTACACATGCCATTGCCTTGCAGGCTCAGAATAACAGACAATTTTCAACAGTCTTTTTTCCCCAGTAATCGTTCTCAGTAACCAGAAAGCCCTTGTGTTGCAACTAGTTATTCCCAAAACGAGTGTCAATCCATCCCACAACAAAAGCAAGATAATTTTATTTTCTGTTTACAGAAATGCTAAGCAACCTTCTCTCTCCTCTTCCTTTTTAGCTCTAAGCAAGGCCCAGATTGGGATCACCTCTGGTCCATCAGCCAAGCCAGCTCAGTCCTATACCCTTCCTGTTGCCCCACTTGCAGCTCATTCTCCCACTTTGAATTTCTCCCACTCCTGCAGTAACTATGCCCAGCTGCAAGTGTAACTGCAAAACTAAATCATCACTCAAGATTAGCCCCCTCTTTCCTTGCTTCCTTGCACCATCCAGTCTGCAGTTTGCAGTCTGAGTGAGAGACAGTTGGCACATGCAGAATAAAACAATTCAAGGACTGCTTTCCTCCGTGAAATGTTGAAGAGTGGCCACCATAATCCCAAACAGAGCTGTCTATTAAGCATTTCTGCTTCTGTCAATATACCCTATATGCTTGCTCACATGTACAGGCTGACATATAGAAAGTAGTATAATGTCAACAAGCTATGACTGAGTAAATACAAAAGAATTCTGATTTACTGTAAACCCCCGCATACACTTCCAGCTATTTCTTTCAGTGATTTTACATGAATCATTACGAGAGGATTTCATGAACAAATTCTTGACCTCTCCCATTTGCCTTTTTAGCCTTCTGCTACAGGCATCCACACACATTACAACAGCAGACATACATAACCACAGCTTGCCATTTACTAAAACACCAAATAAATTCCCACCTTCCAAGGTCTTCTGATCCCTTTGAAAAAATCAGGCATCCACATTGGAAGAACGACAGCTTCTCTTAATAATTTCTTGGCTTCTTCCAAATCTGCTATGTCATCCCTGTGCAAGATGAAGAAACTTGTTTAAGATTCCCGTACAACAATATTTCTTCTATTTTTATACAAGAAAAATAGAAAAGCTTTTCACTTAGTACCATCTCTTCTAGAATGCCAGAATACGCCTCATGTGAGCACTCCTATAATCCTGTGACCTAAAACTGAATCCACTTTTGGAAGGTAGGGAAAAAATGATTTTCAACTCAAGTTACCCAGAGCTGCTTAATTTAAAAATTGGTTTGGACAAGGTGAACACCAAAGCAGTATCTTTAAAGTTCTCTGGAGTGTGCTTTCATTTCAGCAGTACCTGTAATGGATATACTGCACATAATATCAGTTAGCAACAAAAGCTAACTGTACTCAAATTAATAAACTGTTAAAACCAAAAGACCTTGTTTTGCTTATCTGTAGAAGATTATGATGGCTCCCTGTTTTAAGAAGTAGAAGGAGGATAGTATCTCTCCTTCTCCTCACTAGCAAAAACACTTGAATTGAGAAAATCCTCATACCAATGAATGCTTGGGTTCCTTGATACAATGTCCCTTTCAAGAGCTTCGACCAAGTCTTTGTCGTAACCCACTCCATCAAATTTTGGAATTTCCCCATCACCAACTTCCTGGGGTATTTTCTTTCCCATAAGGACATTATTCTTTCAACATATCCTTTACTAGCAATATATAGCAAAATTTTCTGGTTCCCCTCTGTAGAAGCCACAAGAAGGTATCAAGCTTTAACACAGCTATCTCAGAACCACGATGGCCAGTAAAACCAACGTGTTCACACCCTATGCTCCATAAAGAGTCTCCAAACACCTGTGGTTGCTTCCACCACAACAGTACCATGCTTCCTTCACAAATGCAGCTCACAGTGATAAAACTCCATCAGAGCTCATTACGTATCACGGTTGGTTGGTTGGTTGGTTTGTTTTAAAGCGGCAAACCAGACTCTCCCAGAAGTGCTAAACCACTCTTTAGACAACTGACACCCTTCCTGGCCAGCCGAAGGTATGAATGCAGAAACAGACTCACAAAGCAGGCTGTGTCATGACTTAATGCTACATTAACTCCTGGCTGAAGACCAGAGCATCTAAAGCATATTTTGAAGATGCTACACCTGCCACGCTACCTGTCAGAGCTAAACAACTGGCACCCCATCATCACTGAAAAGGAACACAAAAACTGTTACACCCATTGCCTTTGATGGAGGAAAACCAGGAAGATTCTCTCCCCTTGTTTAATTAAAGCCTTCCTACCCAGCAATTTCTCCTTTCCTCAACTGCAAACTATCTATTTTCCTCCTCTCATTCACGGGCTAGCTCCATAAATAGTTAAAATGCTTTTAAAAGGTCCTATTTAGGGCTTTTGGTGCAGCCCTTAAATAAAGAAGCTCCCAAGTCACCCAGGCTTCTTTGAACTACAATTATTTCTGCAGCATGCCAATGCGGATTCAGCAACCAAGTCACCCACTGCCTCTGCCCCCAATGGCCCAGAGTTTCTGGTTAATACTTCCACAGTGCCATTCAGCTTATGGGGGTGAAGTAACATTTTCCCTTTGAAGCATCAGGGCTTGTGCTCCTCCTCTCCCACTTCAGAAGGAAACCGCTTCTCCTCCCAGCTCAACGGCAGCATTCGGCAGTGCCTGAAAAGCAGCTGCGCTGTTTTAATGAAAGAGGCTAAGTAGGGAGCTACTTTAGGACTCTTAACTCAGTTTCTAAACACTATCAGCAGCAAGTTAAAGAATCCCAGCTGGCTGGACAAAAGCAGCCTAGGCAAAGGCAGGCTGAGAGGCAGCTGGAGACACACAAATAACCTTGCAGTGGAAAAAGAAAAAGGTAGCGATTACACCCCTCCCAGTTGCCATTTGCCCACGAGGCCTGTGAGGGAGCAGTTTATCTTCCCACTATTTTTATTACTTGCTTCTAAGTGAACTCTGTGTTGTTTAGTACTCCCAGATCAGTTTTTTGCAATGGAAATGAAGCTGAAAGTTGTGTTTAGAGAAAAAGCTGGTGTCAAAAATGTAATGGTCTGGCATAAAAAGGAAACGGAGAAAAAAGCCCTGTAGAGTTTGGAAGATTTCAGGAGATAGAAAATGGAATCCGAATGTAACCATAAAAAAAGAAAGAAGGAAAAAAAAGACAATTAAATGAAAGGTATTTGCTGTCTGCCTTTGTTACACACTTCTATCCCTTTGCAATGGACTGGTTTTTCTAGTGGAAGAATTTTTCTGCAGACCTCAAAACAAATCGGATGTTTTGTTTTTTCTGGGTGAAACAGAGTGAAGGCAGGCTTTAAAAGCAGGAAAAGGCAGGGCGGGTGACTGCAGCGCACTGTGAAGGAGGCTGAAGCAGCAGCAGCTCAAGCCCCCGAGCCCGGCTGGCAGATCTACGCGCAGCCCCTTTGCTGTGCCAGAAAGGCGGTGAACACGCAAACCAGGCAACGCAGGCGACACCGGGCCCGGGCGTGACGCGGCTCAAAGAAGCGGAAAAAAATAGAAATAAAAGGGGAAAGCAAGCCCCGCGGCAAGAAGGGTGCCGGCGGTGCCGGCAGCCCCGGCGCACCACGGGG